ACCCCTTTTTCAGGTTTATTCTCTTGAACTATTTTTACAGTTAAAAAAAATGGTTGGACGTCCCACAAAACATTTATTTTTTCAGATTATCAAAATATTACCTATTTTAAAAGGTACATGCACGTCTAGGGCCGGCAATAAACTACTAGTTTTCAGTTTCTGAAAAAATGTTTAGACCCTTGAAGCGAAAGCCCATAGCTCCGCCAGTATAGCGCTGCGATACGATTTTATTTTCACAATAACACTTTTATTGCATGAAACTATTGTTGTATCTGTTTTTTATGTAGTGGCGATTGTGCTTCAGCGAACGGAGCACCCATGACCCGGTCGTCCTTGTCGCAACATGACGCTGTCTCCAGATCGTACAAGATGGTTTGCTCGATTTGAGGACGTCGATGCTTATTGTCGACGTATTCAATCGTTGGACTGAGATCTGCGTCGCTGCTCCTCCCTGGCCGGTAGATGATGAAGACGACAATTTGAACTCCACCCAGCGCCGCTCCCACTGCGTTAGTTGTTAGCACATACATATCGTTTTCGAGCGCACTGGTCCACACCCAAAGCAGACCGTTGATGAAGGCGACAATCGACATCGTAACAGGCATTGACGACGCGTTCTTGGTGCGAATTATGCACTTTAGTGTCTCCAGAGGAGCCACCTTTAGACACAGATTCATTACCACGCACATGTATCCGAGTATCTTCTCGACCTGATGGGTGGATTGATGTGTGACACCTGCCATGGCGATGGCGGCATAGATCGAGGTGAGTATCATACCAGCGACAAAAGCCCCCCACAACACGTAGAATCTCCGCCGCGAGGTGCACCACCACCAGTAGACGATGCCGAATACGATGGCTGAGACGGTTTGGAAGGCACACACCGAAAACAGAGGGAAGAAGTTACCGATCAAGTACGAGTAGATCGTCCTGGCAGAAGGGTATAGCGTGTTAGTTTTCGATAGTATTTTAGGTTATCTTAGTTGTACCATAAGTAGGAGTTGCCAAATAGCGTGACGACTGGGAAAATGGATACGTCTCTGGCGTCCTGCAGCTTGTGAACCCGACGAATTTCCGGGTACGGGCTGAGCCCCACGGCCAGAGCTGTCACGAATGTTAAGACGCGCAGAGTAGTGAGCAAAGCACTGTCCGTCATGACTTCAGTGGATCGGAATCAATTGTGAAGGGCATTCTTTCGATCCCACGGATATAAATGAGCGTGATCAGCGATGAGTGTACTATGAAAACCCATTCTATGTCATGCTAAGAATCGTTATAAGGCATAAATCAATTAAAACGGAGTGTCCACCTTATCGTTGGTTTAGCTGCAAAATTTTATGCACATACCATTACTGTAGTATTGTGTGGATGAGTTATTCATCTACATTGTAGACCATTCGATCTTCTTATTTTCTTCGCGTTCACAGTATCCCCTCGCGGGCCTGTAAGCTGCGAGTCAGGACGAAGGGCAACTCTTACTCGACAACACAAGTGTTTTGCAGCCACGGGGCATTTGTGAGCTTGATACGGGAAAGCTAGGGTTGCTGGGAGAGATTGTCCGGGCGTCGAGTCAAAAACAAAGCGACAATCAGCAAGCGCCAAACGATACTTTATTGCGAGAAAGCTGCACTTGTAACAAAAATAAAGAATCTGGTATCCATGAAATTGGGAATTTTTTTTCAAATTCGATTTTTTTTTGCAACTAAAACCTAGTATAAAGTTAGAGAAATTGCTTCAGCCTTTCCATTTAGGATTATGTTTGTCCATCGCCATCGATAGGACATGAGTATCTATGATATCGATAGCGCCATGTCATTGAATGACTCAACACAATGGATGTGTCGAGTTTATGGTACAATAAACGATTGATTTCCTAAAACATCCCAGAAAAAAGTGCTAGCACGAATTATCAAAATTGAGTGTTTTTTAGACCGGATCTTTGATCTGATTCTGTTTCGAAACGGAAGCAGGCTCTGTAGATCAACTGGCTGACAGGCCTAGTATCTAGTGAGATCTCTCGCTACGGTAACTGTGATGACAAGACAACTTTCTATTCTACATTATTTTTACTTAGTAAGAAGCCAAATATTTCCATCCATAGAGAACACAGAATAAACATCGTACTGGGATTTGAGGAAAAGAGTAACCCGTTATTCCGTATATTGGGGAACCAATAATGATCATTCTACTACATAGTACTCCAAGTATTTTTTTTTTTGTATTCTCTGAGATTTATTCTGCTAGAACGCATTTTAGTGCTATAAGGGAAAGCCCAACAAGTGCGGTGGGATGGTTATCCCAGTGAACCGACACAGGTACTAGTACATCAGTAATGATACCCTAGTTGATTTGATGGGATGATTCGTTAGCGGTATATACGGATGCCAGTACACTAAATGCCAGAGAATTGGATTGACAATCCAACTCTTTTGGCATAGCCATGTTCGCCAATATAGCACAACGGTATATGGCCAATCCTGGATTGTCCTTACCGATATATAAATATTGATACCACTAAGGTATATGCGCGAACCTGGCTACCGAAAGCTTTGTTGTGGTAGGGTTTTGTGCTCCACCGTCCTCACGATAATTTAAATATAAGCAATGGTTTGCAGCAAACGTAACTTATATAGAATTTAAAAATTAAAAGTCTGTTCGAAATTTCAAACCCCCTCAGGCTCTTCGTGTCGCTGGAAAGATTCCAGCCGATTCGATTTAGTAAAACGGCCATTTCCAGTAGCTTACTCGCTCTTGTTACGTATTTATGGGCATTCCGAAAGTGTGTTAAAAGTGTAAAATAACAATTATGGATCAATATCAAATTGTACGGAGATTAGCAGATTCCAATAATTCGTTCTCCATCATTACAGCTCTAGAAATATTTTATATTTTTTTCGATCCCTGGATTAGGGTAGACAATGGTCTATGGTGGCAGCTCGTCCCTCGGCTGGTTTATTTAACGAAGTGCCGCGAGAAATAAATCACCTCTGATAAACCAAAGAACCCCCCCCCCCCCCCCCCCCC